TGGGCTGGGTGGTGTCAGCCTCCCGCCGCTGGGCACCACGCGTCTGGGCAGGTGTATCTGTGGGAGGGGCACCCTGAAGGGAGGTGGCCGTGTCCCTCGTGGATGCTGTGAGGGGCTAGGCGGGGTGGTGCCATTTTGCGGTTGCACCTGCGCCCAGACATTCCCCCAGCATATTCGCTGCGCTTTGGGACGTTTGCAGCTCTGACGGTTGAGAAAGAGGTTATCAGTAAGGTTTTAATTGGCTCTTTTGCTTTGAGTGAGTTTGAGCATCTCCTGATGTCTGGAAGGGCCATTTGTTTCCTGTGAACTGACCGTTCAGATCATTTGTCTTTCTCTTTCTCTTACAGATTTCTAGAAGCTCTTTGCATTTGAGTTGCAAATATTACTTTCTCATTTGCCTTTTGACTTTGCCAGTGACTTCCTTCCCGTCCAAGTGATGCTGAACAAGTAATAATGGTAATTATCTTACTTTTACAACCAGCCAGATGGATGGGCTTCATGCACTACTCCTGAGAACAGAATTGGCTTCTGCTTTAAGATCATTTCATCACATTAAAAACTGCTTTATTCCTGGCTCACAAAGAACTCAGCAGGAATGGGTGTCGGATTGTTCCTGTCTGTTAGGGTGATTACATCTAGTTCACTTTGGCCTAGTTCTGTGAAATGCCAGATTACCTAATATTAAAATATTCTTACACCCGTAGATTAAATCCTCCATGATCAAGATGGATCATTCTTTTGACTTATTTAAGTTCTGTTACACATGCAATAGTCTGCTTTTTGTGCACAATGCTTGTAGCCTGGCAGTGGAAGGTGGGAGCTCAGGTGGGGATGGGGACACCCCTGCCATGAGGTTGACCCTGTCTCCCGTGGGCACTCTGTCCTGGATGCAGCCCGCACTCCTGCACTGCCTTCAGGCTGACATGTCGTCGCGGCCCCCAGAGGAGTTGGGGAGAAGGTTCTGGTAGGGTTGTGTGCCTCTCTCGTGTCAGGTCTACATCACATGGGGCACTTGGTTAAAACTTTGCCAGTGTCTTCTGAGAAGGTTATAGAAAACCCTGCTGAGGAGGATGAATACCCAGCCCCCTCAGCACATCTCCTGCGAGCGCTTGGCCACCCCTGGGGCAGCCACCCCGAACCTCCTTTTTGGGCTGCGCTGCACAGGTGGTTGTCACCTCAACTCATAGCTCAAGAAAAGGCTTGGGTGTGTGCAGCTTTTTCCCCATAATTGAGCAGGTTTTTCTAAGTGGAAACCAGAAGTCCCCCTCTACCACTCCCAAAGCTCATTTCCTAGGTCTTAACCCAAAATCTGTAGATTGAAAGGCCTTAGAGAGACTTGAAAACTAAAAGGGGGACCCAAACTCTTGACTTGCTTTTTATGCTGGCCTCGTGATCAAGTTGCTGGGTCATGCCACGTTTTTTGGAAGCACAAACAGGTTTTATTATCAATGATAAAGAGCAGGTGGGTGTGGGTTTGTGAAAATTGATAAAGGGAGACCTCACTGGCATGGCTTTGGGCGGCATCAGGGGGTGCTGACCCGCCCACCCCTCCCAGCCCATTACAGACCCACCAGAAGGGAGAGGGACACCTTACAGCTCAGGTTGCTGTAGCTGGGCTCTTTCCCAGCAGGAAGACGGGAGAGTTTCTGCCTGCCTTAGCAATAGCCCAGCCAGTGAGAGACTGTCACAGTTCAGCCAATGAATGGCCACGACACTTGGGACCCCCAGTTTCTCCCAATGGGCTTTTTCCTTGGAACAGCCCCCACCTTCCCTTCCTCTATAAAGAGCCTCCTCTCCTCTCATACTTGCCTCGGTTCTGCCAGTGGCTTGCCTGACCTGCGTTGCTGCTCTCTGCTGTCCCTGAATAAACCCTTTTGGCTAGTAAAGTAACAGTTTATTTTTCAGGTTAAGTTTTGGATGGAAAAAGACAGTAGCTGAGGCCTGAACCCAGCTGCCAGGCTTGCTCCCCAGCATGGGCCGGGTGGGGACCCTCGGGGACAAGGGGAGTGAGGAGCCGCTCCTGCCCTCAGCCTGGGAGGTGAGCAGCTTCACACCTCCAGAGGCAGAGAGGCCGGGCTGCGGCAGGCCCGTGGGAGTGAGGGTGCCCCCAGCGGGGGGTGCAGGCCTGGGGAGGCGTCCTTCCTCTCCAGCTCTGGGGAGAAGGGGATGC